AAAGAAGGGTAAAGGTCGCGAAAAACCTGATTGATTTTTATTTTCGAAAAAGGATTTTATTTTTCAGATTTAGCAGCTGGATAAATAATTTTCCACTTGATCCAGTTTTCTCAAATTGAGTTAGTTTATCGAAAAAAAGTCAATCATAATTTGTTGCTGAAATTAAAATAGCTGTCAATCATTTTATATTTTTGAAATTAGGAAAGTAGGGAAGTTTTTTCCAAATAAAGTCAGTTTTTTTTTCGTTTCCTTGCGCTCAGTGACTCTTTTCCAATTGTCCGTTGGTTATGAGCGCAGTTTAAGTCGAAATTAAATTTTAAGCTTGTTTTGTGTGTGTTCTCGAATACTTATAAGAATACAGAGCTTAACAAACCATGTTTTTTGATGGATCTAAACAGGAAATATGGAATTTTCAAAAGCATTTCATGGAACAAAGAAACAAAGGCATACCTTATGTCGTTGCACCACTATATCAGGTAGTGAATGGAAAACTTGTAGGGCCTTGAGAGTTTCAACCTAACTTGCATCTAAAAATGCTCATTTGATTACACTTGCTATAATCACGATCTGTAGCATTGACAATTTCACAATTTCATTGCAGCATTAAAAAAATTTCGGCTGACAAGGTTTTGGAGCCTTTTGCCTCTTTAGCGGTCTCATAATGCGTCATATGAAGGGCAAAACTTTTCTATTTTCAGATTAAAGGGGAATTTATAAACTTTTAAGTTACAATTTTTCTTTTCCATGATAGGTTATTATGAGATCATTATATTGGCGCAATGGCCGTTTTGCAAGTTTTGTTCTTAAGACCGAGAATTGTCCTTCTCGACATAGGCTTATTACAATTAATTTTATTCAAGATAATTTGAGATATGAAATTTTTTTCTAGATGTAGTTTGTCGCCATTTATTTACATTTGCGAGAGCAAGTGTCGTGAAAGTGAGAATAACTTTTTTCCGGTAAACACTTTTCTGGTGAGTTTTTAAGAAGTTGAAGCTGCATAATAAATCAAGTTACACTTTTCACTTAGTTTAGTGGTAACGCGTTTGCCTGTGCACCTAAGATCACGGGTTTAAGTCCCTGCCGGACTTAGTTTTTTTCCGGTACGTATGATAGCCCAGGAAAATTGAATTGTGGGATTTTCGTTTCTCTGCTCACATTTTACCGGCTTAGTTGCCCCGTCAAGGATTGTTTTTGAGCTGTAAGCTATTTTCATTGTTATTGAATGTTTTTGTTGTTTTTATCGGTGGTTTGTAAGTTTACTAGCCTGACTAACATAGAACATTTGTTTTTTTTTTCAGCTTAAAACGTTCGGCTTGTTTGGACGGGCTTACTCAACTTTTTGTCTCGCTTGAATGGCAATAATTGATTGTTCAGGTCGTTTGTGTTACGAAAGTTCAAAGTTTTTAAACTTGATTGCTCAATTTTTTTACAGCATTTGTTTGCAAGTGATGTTAAGTTTCTTTTCGCAGCTGTATCTGATCCAGCGAATCTTTATACTCGTTTTTTAAATGTCAGTGATGAAGGTATTTGTTAGGCCTCGTATTTCTGTTATTTTTAAATGCAATTGTCGTAAGGTTGAAATCTATTTACTGTCGACTTTTTTATTTTGTATTCCCTGAATGGAATTTCTAAATTGGCTATGAAATCTTGAATTCAAGTAACAATCAAGTTATAATTTAACGTCGTTGGATTAGGTAAGAATAGAATCGATATCGGGTTTTAGATGACTAATACTTTTCATAGGATATTACTCGTAGGATTAGCCTGAATTATCGAACCCGTATATGAATGGCGATAATGGTAGGTTTTACCATGGTTTCGTGTCTCAGTAATGTCACCATCAGGGGCGGATCTAGGATTTTCTTGAGGCGATGTTTCTTTCGGCCAACAAAATTGATTTTCTTCACTCCCAAATTGGCCAACAAACACTCTATTTTGGCCGTTTTTGGAACTTGTTAACCAAAAAAAATTGCAGAACTTTAATACTCGAACTTTAATTTTCGTAAACAATTTTTATTACAGTCACTTTCCGTTCTGGTTGACACTATTTTAGGTAACTAAGTTTCAAGTTTTGATAATGGACTAATTTGAGAAATAAATGTTTTTGTTTTCGTTTTCGACTCAGAAAATATTAGTTGTTTGAAACAAAATTCTTATCCAGTACTTATTTAATGGCAGTTTTTTTAACAAAAATTATTCTTTATTTTAATAGCGGTTCTCTTGGGATTTGGGCAGACTGTTGTCATGTTCTCTTATTTTTATCATGCTGTCGGGTTATAATCAAAGCTAGACTGTTCATTATCCCACCTGGTGATGTAAATGTGGTGATGTAAATAATCTTCCGCTTCCAGAGAATTCGGAGACTCGATGCATCAGTTTTTATTTTTCTTGACGTTTTTGAATGAAGTTTAAATACATAAATTTTGTTGGTTCTATTTTTCAGAAAAAATTCTATTTGGCATGTTTATTACGAGCAAGTGCTTGCGTTATATTACGAGTGCACATTACTTAGGTAGCTCATTTTTGTGTTAAATTTCATAACATTATATGCATAAAGTTTAGTGATCAATTGCAATACAGGCTATGATTTTGTCTGTGGCGTCTGAAAGATGTTGATATCCTGAGCTTGAAATTTAAAAAAAAAATTTAATGTTTGTTTCAAATTGATGGTGGGTTTGACAGTTGCCAGTTTGATCAATTTAAAATAATTCATATGCCCTGTTTATTTGTTTTCGTTTCAGGCATAGCGGAGGCCGGGACTTAATCCGGCTTAGAAGTTTTTCCAAGTTGACTTGAGGCAAGCTATTGGTCTTATTATGCGTTATTAGAGGATGAACAACAATTTGCATTTTCATTTCCATCATACTTGGCCGGTTCTTGTGTTGTGAAGCGATTTATCTTTTTTCGACCAAAGGCGCTTATTTTAATGCACAGTTTTTGATTTGAGTTATATCTACTCTATTAAAGCACCTATTTTTGCTGCCTGGACTTTATTTTTTAAGTATTTGTAAATGTTTTTGGCCTTCAGGGTTCAGGATGGTAATATATTTGCCTTCGAAGCGGCAGAGTTTGAGAAAATTGATTTGTATATTTTTTTTCGATTTTTTTACAGCATGCTTGCTGGTACAAATTTTCTTGCCAATATTTTGCAAATTGTATTGTTTGGTTTATTGCATTAATTATTACCTAATTTAATTTCAATCCTCTTTAAGGCTGAAAAGAAACAGCTAAAAAATAGAAGTAAGCACGACATAAATCCAGATCTTTGTTTTCGTTTTTTTAAATACTTTTGTACTGATCGTATAATTTTGTGCTATCTACAGAGCAAACGGATATAAATGTTTTTTTTACACGAAGCCTATTTCAAGATTTTGTTGTGAAAATTGGGCTCTAAATTTCAAGTGAAGCATCAAAGAGATTTCACAATGTTATTGTTACAGAGTGTCGAAATACAATGCTTGTAGTGCTTTTTTGGTTCTATACAGTCTATTCGATTCTAGTTTACATATGCCATTCTACCCTACTAATCTATCCTATATTCCAATCTACCATATGCCAAATACTCTATGCCAATTTACCCTGTGCTGCATAAATAGTTCAATTGGCCAGAGATAATTTAGCTGGCTATTTCGGTTTCAGATCGCCGATGGGCGCGATTCGCGGGCATAACCGGCTCCAATTTTTGTATAGAGTTCTACCCTCTGTAGGGAAGCTCGCATTACGTTGGAGCGACTGCGATGATCACTATTCTGTTGTTGTCATTCCGTCTTAATTTATGTGTAAGGTAATTTGGCTGAGGGTAAATTGGTAAGCAGGGTAGAATGGCATATGTTAAAATGGAATAGGCTAAATTGGAATATGGTCAGTTGTCCTGCTACCTTATTTGTTCTAACCGATTTTTTAATCAACTGTTTCTGAAGAAATATTTTTTGAACATCTAAAGCTACTAGTGCACTGAGCTCAAATTTTAAAAAATTTATCTTTCTGTTGCGAATATAGTTCGTGGTAACGCGTAAGCGTCGATTTAATCCGGCTCAGAAATTAGTTTTTTTTGGTCTTATTAATACTTAGCTAGACGCTAAATAAATCGCGTGGTACTTTAAATAGCGTGTGTGAAAATTTCCAAAATCTTATTTCATTAGCTTTTTAGTATTCAAAATTAATTTAAGATATTCAAATGGAATCGCAACCTTCAGGGCTTCGACTGTATACGAGAAGTCTTGTTTGCTAAGCTATCGATATATTCCTTTATAGAAGGGGTGATATTTGTCATAAGAACCAGGGTGTGTTAAATAAACCCTTATTTCTTATCGAAGTTTTGCCCTCATTGAAGAAGAATTTCCCCATCTTACTGATTTTCAATTTATCATATTTACACTTGCGAAGCAAAGTGTATTTATTAGAACGAACTTTCTTTTTTTTCAACCTAAGTCGCAAATATTTGTGTCATTTTTGGGGCACCTTTACAGCTTATTGATAGAATGTGCTTTGACATTCGAATAGTAATAAGTTAACTCAGTTGATGCATTTTTAATTCATTAAATGAGCAGAAAAAAGCTATTTGTTTCTAACAACCTAACAATAATCGAAGACTTTTTTAAAATACATAATTTATACATAATGTGGCTTTATGCTTTGCAATTTATTACATGCAAAATGGTGTCTTTTTGTATTTGGTGTTACTTTTGCCGAATCGATTTGGCAATTTATTAGCATATGTAGCTTCGTAACTGGTGGCTAGTTTTTGGGGATTTTAAGCATCCGTGGCTGAGTGGTTAGTGCGTCAGACTCAAATTTGCTAGACCGGAGATTCGAATCCGACACGAAGCCGAGTTTTTGCTAATTCGAGGCTTATTTCTTCTTTTTCTTATGTCACTTAATAGAGCGGCTTTCTGGTCGTGTTCTCGCTAGTGTTTGCGAAGCGCAGCTTCGCGTCTGTGTGAATTATTCTCGTGAAATGTTTACAGGAGTAATATTGATAGGGCGTATGCTTTCAGGTATTTTTGAAAGGAACGAAGGCAAATTTCGACGGAGTGGAAATGGCCAATGAAGAACATGGCTCATCTTCGGCGTCATCTTCGGGCATATTTGCTTCATTGGAAAGTGATCCGGTCCACAGCGCGAACGACGACGGCTCTCCGCCAAAGAAGAAACTAAAGGAAGAGAATGTTAAAGAAAATTTGAAAGAAAAACAGAAACGTATCGTACCGATCAAAATTAATAGACCCAAAGGGCTCACCAAAGAAGGCAAAGTTAATTGGGGTGTTGCTGTTAAAACAGAACCTGAATCCACATCGATATCAGAAACTGAAGAGTCTACGGTGTCATCGGAATCAGAGACTGTCGTTTCACAGAAGATACTGGATGCAACTATCAGTAAACATTCACGAATTGTTGAAGAATCTACTGTTTCTACGGAGTCTGAAGCGGGTAATCCAGAGATTGGAAACAATACACATGATATAGTAAATCCAAATGCTATTGCAAGCACCGTTATGACTGATTCTGAAGATATTGGAAACCCTATTGAAAACGAATCATTGGTATCAACAGAAACAGAAGCAAATGTTCTAAATCTCTGTCAAACCGATGCTGCGAGAGGCGAGCTATCAAACTGTTTGGGAGCTGAGCCTCAGAAAGAATCGGAGAAAGCTGCAATCATTTGTCAATCAAATGTTAATTCTCCGATGGTTTTGGACATGGATGCTCAGCGAACGGTGCTTCTAAAAGAAAACGAGGAATCTATCATATCTTCAGAATCAGATTCTGTCGTTTCGAAAAATACACCACAGGAACTTGCCTTAAATGACGCAGAAAGTACCGAAGATTCCGTAGTTTCTACAGAATCTGAAGCAGGTAATGTAGAGGTTGCGAATGATACTGTTGGCGGGCGTCCTGTTTTGTTCTCGCATAATTTACATCAGCCTACCACATCTCCATTAATTTTTGCGAATGCAGTTTCAGAACCGTCATCTGAAAGTCATACAGGAGGTGAGATTTTAACTGAAAATGAAAACAGAAGCGATACTTTTCGTAATTATGAACAAGCTGTGGGAAACGTTGCCTCTATGATGGAAGAGCGGCGCCGTGACATTGCAGAGAATTATGCGAAAGCCGTGGATCATGTCGCATCGAATTTTGAACCTCCTCCCATATCCGAAGCGAAACGACCAGAAGCTCGAAAAGATTCGGTTGAGAGGCATCGAGAAATTGCCGCAAATTTCTGCAAAGCAGTAGACCAGGTCGCAACCAATTTTGAATCTCCTCCAGTAACTGTAGCCGAAATATCGGAAGTAACGCGTCAAGAATCAGGCGAAAGTCGCCTCAACATCTCAGCTAATTATGCAAAGGCTGTAGATCAAGTTGCTTCTAGTTTTGAGAGCACATCAAACCGATCTCAGCCTCCGTATCCTAACGTAACTGTGCCGTTCAGTCATCGATCTGTTTCTTATGTGTCTGACTTGTCCGAGGAAGCGCAGAACGAGCTGGCGGATCCGCGTCGTGATCTTTCAGCCATAAACCCATTTGCTATTTGGGCTCCTGAAGAACCAGTCTCTACGCAAGCTAGTATTACTACCACTCGTCAACCACCCGTGTTAGCAAGAAGTCAAAATCTGTCTCGAGGTGATGTTAATACACTGACAGATACCTCAAGAGGTAACATCCCCTCAGATAACGGATCAGTCATAAAACCAACCGCAGCGGTAAATACTGCCTTAGTTAAAGAGGAACCGATGGATTTTAGTGATATTCAGAGATCGCATGCAATTTCTACAAGCTGTGCAAATTCAGCCAGCCACTCTTTTGTACCACCTATGCAAACAGATGTATCGGCACATCAATGCTCTGCTTCTGCTGGCCAAGATACAGTTGCAATAACTGCGAGTATGGCAACAACTGGAGATGTTCTGTCGACCAATTCTAATGATCCTACTAGTGGACAGGTTGTTACTACCAGTTCAGAGGGTAACGTAAATACAGTACAAGACAGCTCTGGTACGAGTCAAAATGAAACGAATGTGAGTAAAACTATTGGTATTCTTGATACTTTGCCTCATTGATAGCGTGAAAGCATTAGTGTTAAAAAAAAGGGAGAGAGAAGCATTAAATGATGCCAGAAAACTGAATAAGTAGTCGTTTGCTGTGAAAGTAGCACCAAATATTTTGATCACAGTTGTGCAAAAAATATTATCGTTAGGACAATTTCGACAGTTTCGCCTGTATATGAAGAGAAATTTTTGACCGTTTTTAGCAAAAAGTTCCCATCATTTCTTCTTGAGAAATTTTTGAAGTACGAAGTGAGGTTGAAAGGGTTTTAATGTCACATCACTTTTACATCCTACGAAATTTCATTGAGGTATAGGTATGTAGAATCGCGTTGAAAAACTCACAGAACTCATAGCACCTTCTTCTGAAAGGCCTGGAACGAAACAGTAATTACCGATGTTTTTCACAACATTAACTCTCCAAGTGATTATGTAGCTCGTGCTAAATTTGATATTTTTTATCACAAAAATTCTTCAAGTTTTGTTCAAGCTCAAACTTAATTTTTCGCGGTTTGACTTGATTTTTTTTCAAAATTATTTATTTTGGTAAAAAGAAAAGCAGACTCCACTATCAAACAGCAAAAGTGTGAAGGTCACGAAAACAGTGGACGATTTTTAGTTTCAAAAATGAATTTTAGTCATCAAGGTGCCAATAATGAAGAACTATGGAAATTCAGAGAATTTTAGGTGATGTATTTTTTATCTGAAATTCTTTAACACTTTAAATTTTTTTTTTTGAAAACTTCCGTTTCCTTGTTTCTTTAGACTTGTTGGCTTGTAGAATCATCTGTTGGCTATGTTCTTTTGTTTTAGAGCGCCATACCAGTTATTCAATTCGCAATGCGTCAGTATCGTCATAATTGGCTCAACAGAGGGTTTGAGATGGCGGAAAATACCCAGCAGGCCTTTAGCGATCTGAAACTAATTCAGCTCGAAGATCGGGATCTGGTTTCGAGATTAATTTCTATGGTAAGTGTTTTAACCCTTGCGATAATGAAGGGTATTGCAGCCGGGTACTACACAGTTTTAACGTTATTAAACTTGTTCCCGGGATCTTCTGCTAGACTACTCGCATACCTTATCAATATATCAAGTTCCAGCTTCTGATTATTACGCCCATTTAGCGTGAAGGTAACTTGAATGCTTGTGACGGCAAAGATTCTAAAAGAGTTCGCTTATGAACACGAGCCAATTTTTTCAACCTTTTTTTCCTGCAGCTTAGACTTCCGATTTTACACTAGGAAGCTTGCGAGCGTTAGTCTATTCGTACGAGCCTTTTTTTCTAACCTAACTCGCAAATAAGTGTTCATTAAAAGTAATCACTTATCTGGTGGCACTTTTGCTATAATCACGATCTGTAGCATTGGAAATTTCATAGTATCTGTTCATTGCTTTGTTAGTGGTTATTGTTTGAAATTTATTAAATGCTGAGTGGTAATTGTGTGAGGCTCTTAATCTCCAGGTCGCAGATCAAATCCGAGATGTAGCCGAATTTTTACTAAGTTGAGGCTTATATCTACTTTTTCTTAATGCAGTTTATAGAGCTGCTTTTTGTTGCGTTCTCGCTAGTGTGAGCAAAGCGCAGCTGCTTCGCTCTGTGTTAACAATACAATATTGCTAGAATTGAAGGTTTTTTTATTCACTCCTGTAATCTACCTGCTCTGATTTTGTGCAGTTTGTTTTTCTTTTAAAAGTTTTATTCGACTTGAATGGTTTGAGATTTTGTTATATGGGCTTAGTGGCCTTTTATGGTGCGGTTTTACGATCGCAAACTTCTTCTACTGGTTTTGTGCTTGAGAAGAGGGTGCCGCATAAAACTTACTTCAAAAGTTTTTGGTCAAAATTTCTAGACAACAAAATTGTTTTCAGCTAAACGGGCGTCTACCATAGTGTTGTCGGTTTATTTACCACTTAGTGTTTTTGTGAGTGCCAATTTGATGCTTGCGACTGTGTTCCGAACCATGTTTTTTCTCAAATTGAATTTCATTCGAGACAAACGTATGAAAATTTTGCTAAATGTAGTTTTTTCGATATTGTTTCAAAATAACTTTTTTCATCTAGTGTCTTTCGTTCATAGAATATTGCCTTTTTATTTTGTTTTTGTTTTTGACTTCTAAAATAACTAGAATTCAACCTGAAAATTAAATTAAAGTTCTTGGTTTTTCCCATAATATAGACCGCCCAGGCTAGCAGCAAAAAAGTTGTGGCCCACAGTCAGTTTTATTTGACTGCAAAACAATCGTTTTGCGTTCATCCTAAAGTGCATTCATACAAAAGATTATTTTGAAAGTACTTAAATAAGATCTGAATAGATTTTTAATGAGTAATATATGAACAAATAAACATGCAAATGGTATTTCAATGTATTTTTACACAAGCAAAGCTTGTGTGATAGTGTGAACTCTATTTTTTTTCTAACGTAAGTCGCAAATATTACTGTTCATTTTGAAAGTGTTCTTTTATTGCAGTATGTGCATAAGATCAATAACCAGCTATTAAATACAGCCAATGCTAAGGATATTAACACAGATTATTATAATACAAAAAGCACTTTAGCTTCAAGGTATCATTGATCTGTAGCGTAAAGGTGGAAATGAGACCCGCTACAAAATTAGGGATTCGAACCTTTTCAAATTAACTGGTACTGCCAATGCGTCACAATTGGCTTGCGTCACTTAGCAATTATGTAGACTCATAATTGGCGTGCGTCAATTAAGAATTTTTTTAGACTCAAAGCTTTACTCATTCAGTTTTTCCCAGTAGCGTTATCGGTCATATTTTTGCTTGTGTATGCGAAGTGCAACTTCGCCTGTGTGTTGGTTTTTCTAATTTATTTACTGGAGAGGGGAGGGGGGCTATTATGGGAAAGTCCCAAAATTCTCAATAAATCTTTCAGGAGCATTTGATCGCCGGTATAGCAAACGGGACAACCAATCCACAATCAACGTATGGTGGAGGCCAAATCTTGTCATCTGTTGCACAGCACTCCAATTTTACCTCAACTAGTGCTGCCCATTTACCTTCACGGTCATCCGCACCTATATCACCGGCTGGATTGTTGATGCCAACCCCGTTTGACCATACCTTACTACCGACAACAAAGCCTTCAATGGATACAAATCCCCGTATATCAACCCCGGGGACTGGTAGACCGGTCTTCAACACACCTAGTTTGGTTTCTCAAACCAATGTATCCGAGGCTTCAAATGGAAAGAAGCCACGAGGGCGACCCCCGGGCTCTAAGAGCTTGGCAAAGTACCCCGGGCCAATGACTCAAATGCCAATTGCACCTAGAGGAAACATGAGTTTCCTGGGGGTCAGTGCTAAGAGAAATTCAAGTTCAGCGGTTCGTTTGTTATTGATATTAATATTGCCGATTTAGATATTGATCTTTGTCAAAACAAGAAGAAAAGTGTTGCAGGAAATAATTTTTTCGCAAAGTAGCTGCATTGATCAGGCTACAACATTATCTGATAAAGAATCACATTGTAAAACTTTTGTTAACAATAGAATATTTTCACTGTTTGGTACTAATCTGGCTCCTTGGTTTCTTCAGAGTTCCCAAATTTCAAATGGAAAACTAGAGGAAAGTGTCAAGGTTGACGGGACTCCGAAATACCAAATTGTTCCAAAAACTAAGTCAATTGCTACAAATAATGTGCTACCAAATTATCAACCCAAACCAGACAGTCTTCAACAGTCACAAGCAGCTAGTCTGTCGCAGAACTCCTCAAGCATTGCCAAAGAAGTTGTTCGTAATTATTTGTCGAACGGCACACAAAATGGGCTCAATTTAACGCAGACGCCTGAACAAAGACAGAAGAATCAGCTTCTGAATAGTCAGATAGAAGCTCCACGAGATCTGAACGGAGTCGTGATTCTGTCGGACGATGAAGATGAAATGAGGCCTGTAAGTTCTCAAAATGTCTCGAATGGGAATAGCCAGGCACTGCAACATGCGCAAATGTATCAGAATTACGTGCAGCAAAACCAGGTGCAATACAATCAACATCGTGCTCCACGTCACAGTGGTCAGAATGGTATGTTGAACATTTTTCAGAACTATTTGATTTTAAATTAAGGTTTATCAAGTATTTCAGTGTTATGTTTCAAAGCAGCGTCCGACTTATCTCCGGGGTCGCAACGAAATCAGAGTGCAGGGAATAATTCCATTCGACAGAAGCCATTACTTCCCCGCAGTTCCACGAAATCTCAGTCTCAACCAAACGGTCAGGTTTTTCCCTCCGCACCAGTAACCCAAAACAGAGAGAAAGTGTCCAGAAACCAAAGTGCAAATAGCTACGCAATTCCACCCAAGCTGGAATTAAAAGCGGAGAAAACGAATGCAGGGAAGAAGCATAACGAAGGGGCAAACTTGACATGGAGCTTCGCCAGTGCTTCCCAGAAGCTTAGCAACTACAAGATAGATAAATACGAATTATTTGCTTACAACAGCTCTAATGGTAATCGAACTTGGTTACTGGTAGAAACAATTAAAGCCTTAGTATTACCTATGCAATGTATGCTAACTAACCTGACGCCAGGCGTTATCTCGTTTGTAATTAGAGGTGTTGATACTTTTGGACGGAAAGGTGATTTTTCCAATGTTGTTTCCATAGAGATGAATAGTTAATGCCTAATCTCTGGCATCGTCAAAAGTCGTCTGCTACTAATAGTACACGATGGATGCAAATAATCCGAATTGAAACAGTTGATGACGCCGATTTTTTTTCCTAAAAAGTTGCTTAAAAGCTGATGATTTTTGATTTTGCCAATAATTTCGCAGGAACTATAAAATTAATTCTAATTCTATAGTTAATTGTTTTGTCTTAATTTATCTGTAAATCCACACGTTTTGTTGAAGGTTAATGAGGAGCAAAGATCAGCAAATATAGTTTTTTTTTTTCAAAACTTTTAGATGCTTATTTTTAAAGGATTTTATCCTTTTTGATTTTTTTTGAGTTGTAGCCGGATATTTGGCTTCTCCTGTTTCCAACATTATTACAGTTCTTTCCTGAAATGAAATATATTTTTATCGAAAACTCAAATCAAATTGTGACCTTCTTCTGTTTTAATAGTTACAAGTTGCTGATCATATTCAATATAGCGTTTTTGCGACCAAAGTAAGTAGGAAAGTTGTAATTGGGCGCATATTTCCAAGGAAGTATGTATCAGGTAGCACAGAAAAAAGTCAGAAAGTCGAGTGATAAAATGTTTTCAACCTCATTTGGTCGTGTGTCAATCGATTCTTGAAGAAAAAAATCTCAGTCGCGAAAACTAAGCTGACACTTACAAATCGAATCTTGACAAATTTAGAGATAATTGTTCTACAATTTTTAATATTTAGACTTTTTTAGAATGAAGAGATTTTGTATTAAATAATTTCAGGCTTGAGAGGCCTCTTTTATTTCGCACAAAAACGAAAAAAATGGACATTTTTTTGCACATACACATACGAGATCAAGTGTCTTGTTTTCGGGGTGATCAAGTTTCCTGTGATTCTTTTTGTTCCGGGCGTTTGAAAAATGTGGAGGAACTTTGTAATCGAGTATTTCAGAACAAGGGCCTTTAGTTTAAAGGAAAGGTCAGCCCATCGATTTTCATAACACCTGTTGTTTTGAGTATTTTTAGAAAGTTGTGAATCCAAGTTAAAAGAGGTGTAGATCAAGCAAAACGAGGCAGTAAAGTTGATAAAAAAACGTCAATAAAAACATTGAAAATGAACAAGTATTTTTAAACACTGTTTTAACACACCTTTGTTTGAAAACATCGCCTTCTTGTGTACAGTTGTCTCTTAGTTTTTTTTCTTTTTGGTTTCCACGCAAAATCAGGTACCTTAAATAAACATTGGAATGTGTCGAATGAAATATCGTATTGCAGCACTTTCAGTCGTAATTCGCATGGCATTTTCTCAGTGTCGAGAAAAAAGGGTTTCAATTTTTTTGATTTTGGTCAATTTTCAAGCTAATAAGTTTTGTTAAAATAAGCTTTGCAGGCTTGCAATAGCTCTTTTGAACTTAATTTAAGCCGTAAAAGCTTATTTTCACTCGAGTAAAGTTAGTTTTTGAGATTTCGTTTCGGCATTTTGGGAATCAAAAAATTTTTGTACACTTTTTTTGTTTTTCTAGTAATTTTTCTGCAGAAACTGTTTCCCAATTGGTCTGTGACTGTTGACTATAACTAATTTCTACTTTTTTTAGTTCAGATCTTACTATGACAGCACACAAAAAAAACTACACTAATTTGAAAAAAAAAATTAAGACTGGTCGGAACATACTGAGCCATTTGCACTGCGCAGTAACCGGCTATCCTTGTTACAAATCTTTCCTGATTTAGAAAAAGGGCTTGTTTTATTTTGAAACATAGAATAAGTCCAAAAGACTGACTAATTGGTGAAATGGTAAAACATCTGCTCGTGATTCGAAAGTTATGGGATTCGTATCCAGACCAGAATTGTTTTTCATTTGCTTTATGTTTTCGACTAATCAAATCAGTTTTTGCCTGCTGTGAATGTTTTTCCAAATTTTCGATTTAATCCCTTCAAATATTGTATTAAGATTCAAAGAACGCAGTGAAGACTTTCACATAGGTCTCGATGATTTTTTGTTTGTTTAATTCTTTCTAAGAAAAATTGAGAAATTAACTGACGCTCAAACTTGATTTTCCGCGGTTTGACTGTTGATTTTTTAAAGCTCATTGCATCTACTGAAATAAACGAAGACAAATTCCTCTATCGAACAGCAAAATAGTAATGGTAGCCAAAAACATGATAACTTTAGTTTCGAAAACGGACAGTAAATTTCAGTTTTCCCAGCGGAATGAAAAGTGTACGCATTGATCTAGTGTTCTCAAATTGGGTTATTTTTATCAATAAATGCCGGTCATAATTCTTTTTGATTCAACGAGCATTAATGGCATATATGTTTTTAAATTTGATGTTCGGAAGTTTTTTTCAGTTTTCTTCCTTTCATTGACTTTTTTCCAACTGTCTGTTCACTATGTTTTTGATTTATTTGCCTGGTTAAGAGTCGATGAACGTAGTTCAGACTCTTATATAGGTGGTGATAATTTTTTTTCGTTTTGAGGAAAAGTTTGTTCAAGCTCAAACTTACTGTTTTGCGGTTTGATTCCTTTTATACTTCTTTTTGACTTCTTTTGAATTTTGTTCATTTTTTGTTTAAAGGAAGTCAAATTCCACTATCAAGCATTAAAAGCGTAAAGGTCGCAAACATCATTGATTTCTAGTTTCGAAAGTGGAATTCAAATGTCAGTTTTACCAGCGGAATAAAAACTTTACTTATTGATACAGTTTTCCCAAATTGGGTTAATTTTATAAGATAAGTGTCAAAATTAGGTTTTTCTAGAAATTCAAAAGTTTTAAGGCCGTTTTGTGAAATTCGTAAATTTTCTTCTGGTAATTCTAAAGTTGTGTCAGTCAGTCATTTTGCAGCGTTCTTTTTCTAAAAATCCGAAGAGCTTTAAGGCCATCTTTATTTTGAAATTCGAAAGTTCAGATTTTTCAAAAAAAAGTAAGTCAGATTTTTTAAAAGTAATGAACGTAGTGAAGACTATTAGATAGGTCTTGCTAATTTTTTCTTTGTTTTTTTTTCACGAAAAAGTCTGAGGTTTATATGCACTTTTTGGGTTCAATTGAAGTTCATCTGCTGAAAGTGACGTAAATAGCACTCTCCAAATACGAACGTGCAAATTCGTGAGCGATATCTGGTATCGAAAATGGAATTTAGTTTTTAGATTTCCAGCGGAATAAAAATTTTACATGTTGATCCAGTTTTCTCAAGTTGGGTTAATGTTATCAAAAAAGCGCCACTCATAAATCGTTCTAGGAATTGAAAGAGCTCAAAGGGCATCTATTTTTCTTTCTTTGAAATTCGAAAGAGATTTCTTCAACTAAGTGTTTTTTTTGTTTACTTGCGTTCATTACTGTTTTCCAATCTTCGATTGGCTATGTTTCTGTTTACTTGCGTTCATTGACTCTTATCTAACTGTCTGCTGACTATGTTTTTTTTCATAACCATCGAACTTTGAATTTAAATGTCTTTCGCTGATGATTTTTTGGTTTAATGGTTTTCGACTGGTGCTCTGTCGTTTTAAAACTCATGAATGAGAGTTTCTAAGTCAGTTTTTTTCCTGCGTTTACAAATGCATTGCGTAATAGAGAAATAAAATTTTCTTATTTTCAAAGATAAGGGGTGTGTTTATCTTTTTCAGTTGATTTTATGAATTTAAAATAATCTGCAGCATCCATCTGATTATCATGTTATTTTCTCATCTGATTATGATTATATTGTCATAGTTGAGCACGTTTTAAGTGGCGTGAAAGAAAAATGGTGATAGGGATTTTAGGAGACCGGTTTTTAGAACAATTAGCAAGTCAAAACAAAATTCAAACGCGGTATTGGCAATTAGCGACAGCTTGCTCGCTGCTTTTCCTTTCGGCACGAAGGTTATTGTGCACTTAAATGGTTGTTGTGCTGCTAATTTAGACTTGTTTTCGAAGTTGATAGTTTTGTTGACAAATAATATTGTTAATCGGGGAAGCGTGACCCACGATTGAGTGTATTTTTGAGTCTGTAAATCAATCATGCATGGCTTTATTAAGTTTTGCTCTGCTAAAAGACACATTTTTACTTATATGCTAAAAGATTGGTCTGCTAAACGATCGGTAACCAAGGAAATCAGCAGTGCACAGACTCATCGAATTTGAAGCCGGTTTGTCGAAAGTTTTTCAAAAGTGAATTGCTTTTGAATGACCAAAAAAGATGACAATGTGTAACAGCCTTAATATTTTTCTTTGTTTTTCTAACATAAAGTTGGCTTAGGGACATATCTTATCTCAACAATTTTGCCAAAATGTTTCAAGCACATTGCTACATGTAACAAAACCAAAGGTAGGGGTGGAGGAGAAGCAATTCTTTCTGGGGAAGAAAATATTATTGACCCATATGTTTAATTTGATAATTGACATTAAAAAAAATTTAACTTTAACATAGATGTATCAGTTGTGACACAAGATAGCAAACAACTCATTGCAAAATTGCAACTGCTTGATTTTTAATCTGATATCTGGATAAGTGAAAGCCCACGAGTTGTTCGAACAACCCTAGTTTTAGCCTTTGCAATTTTTCGATGTTTCACTAAAATTATTTAACACGCAAGTTGACTTTGGCCTTATAGAAAAATGTAAAAAGGAAGACTTTTACGGCAGAATTTATGGAAAACTACATAAGCAAGAATTCAAAATTGAGTTCAACTGATTTTTACAAATTAAAGTAGTCGAAATTGAATTCGAAGATAGTGAAATTGGTACCGATGAAAAGGTTGAGATTCTGCAGCAGCAAGTACAAAACACTCTGGATGCAATGTTACCGTTGTCCAAAAGGAAAGGAAAATAAAAAAGCTGGAAATCGAATGTTATCAAAAATGCGAGAACTAAAAAACGCACAATACTGAAAATATGTCAAAATCAGGGTACCTTAAGGGCAAATCATGAATGAAAGAGCGAACTGTCAAAGTAAAAAATAAAATGGCATCGGAAAATAAAAAAGACTTTTATAACCGCCTAGTCCTTGAAGGAATTGGAAAACTCAAGAAAAAAATTTTTATGGTCATTTGAAAGAAGTTAAAAGCGATAATAAAACAGAACAGTTCAAAAACCGAAGAAAATCATTTAGCTGCACAAGAATTGAACAGCTGTTTTGTCACAATCGGCCCAGAGTTGTTCTGGATTTCAAAAAAAGTGATTTTTCATAAATTATTGCAACTACTAATTCGTTCTTCCTGTCACAAAATGATGAACAGGAAGTTAATGACCCAATAAAGCAATTGA